CCTTTAAGTTGTCTCTAATTGACCACTTTAGAGTCTTACTGGCAGCAGGCAATCCATGCTCTCAGATCCACCCTGACTTTGTAATCAAACCTGCTAAAAAGGGTAGCGCTGTTGTTTGCCGTACTGACCTCTATCTTGCAAAAACTGTGTGCCAGCACTCAGGCATCCCCTTCTGCCTTTGCTGAACCCTGACCCCACCCTTGAACATCATACTGTTGTGTCCATGACAGTAACTATCCTCATCTCATCTGGGGATCTCCCCACCACAGTTTCCCACCTCATAATCCCCAACCTAGTATTGCCAGTTTCTACCTTCTTCCCAAAATTCACAAACAAACCACACCTGTTGTTTCAGCCTGTTCCTGCTCCAATGAGCTTATTTCTTCCGACCTTGACTCAATTTGCTCTCCCCTTGTCCAATCCCTTCCCACCTATATCAGTGATTCGTCTGACGCTTTATGTTGGTTTAAAATTTCCAGTGTACTGGCACCAGCCACCTCTTCTTCACCATGGACATGTAATCTCTCTGTAGGTTCATCCCACAACAAGATGGTCTGAGGGCTCTCCACTTCTTCCTTGACAGAAGGTCTGAACATTCCTCATCCATCACTATCCTCCTCTGTCTGTGAGCTCATCCTCAGTTTAAATAACTACACCATTAATTTCTCTCATTTTCTTCAGATGGAAGTGGCATATCGGCATGCATAGAAGATTGGCTGGTTGACAGGAAGTTGAGAGTAGGCGATAAATAGATCTATTTCAAGTTGGCAAGATGTAACAGTGATGGGACCTCAAATGTTTACGATTTATATAAATTACTTGAATAAGTGACAGAAGGTATGTTTGCAACAATTTTTAAAATTCATTCACAGGAGGTGGGCAGTGCTGCCTGGGCCAGAACTTATTGCCCATTCCTATTGTCCATGAGAGGGTGGTGTTGAGGTGTTGAGCTGCCTTCTTGGATGGTTGCAGTACATTTGCTGTAGGTAGACTCAGACTCCAGTTAGCGCGGGAGTTCCAAGATTTTGACCCAGCAACACTGAAGGAACGGTGACATAATCTAAGTTAGTAAAGTGAGTGGCTTGGAGGGGAACTTGCAGGTGGTAGTGTTCCCACATATCTCGTCCTACTAGATGTAGTGGTTGTGGGTTTAGAAGATGTTATCTAAGGAGCCTTTGTTAATTTCTTGTCGATGGCACACACTGCTGCTACTTAACACTGGTGGTGGAGAGTCTGAATGTTCATGGAATATGATGCCAAGCAGGAATCAAATTGAACAAATTGGGCGGTAATTGGCTATGTTTGGACTTGTCCTGCTTTTTGTGGACAGAACATACGTAGGCAATTTCCCACATGGTCAGGTGGATGGCATGTTGTAGCTGTAATTGGCTAAGACTGGTTGGGAGAAGGGTAAGAAGATGATAGTGTAGTTAACAATGTCAAAAGCCACAAAGGGCGGGATGGTTGAGGAGGGATCGTTTACCATGGTCAATAGAACGTCATTTGTGACTTTGATACAGAAAAAGGGTAGAAAGAGGGTAGCATAAAACAATTATTTCATTGTGGTATGTAACCTTGAATTTGAAGTTTACTCTAGCTGTTTTGATTTCCCCACAAAAGGAAATATAGGCCTCTATCTAACGTCCCCCTTCAAGTCACTTAATCAAAGTAAATATTTCAGTTACTTCGTCCCTTAATGTTCTATATTCAAGGGAAGACCAGCCTAGTCCATTAAGCCTCATAACTTCACACTTTTCATCCTGGCATAATTCCAGTGAATCTGTGCTACATCTTCTCCTAGGTCGATATACCTTTCCTGAGGTATGGTGCCCAGTATCAAACCCAATGCTCTAACTTAAGTCTAACCAGAACTTTATACAGCTGTAAAGTAACTTCCAGATCCCTTGAGATACATGCCAACATCTCATTAGTCTTTTAAATTATTTTGTACCTTTTCACCAGCTGTTAGTGATTCTTGTACTTAAGCCCTTCAAAAGGAGCAGTTCCTAGTTTCTCTTCATTTAACTTAGTATCACCAGAAAACTTTGATAAATAAATCTTAATGGGACAGCAACCCGGTGGCTTCTCCCAGGTGTCCATCCCTATTTCCCTGTATGCTGCTCTAGCCTAACCTCACACCCCATTGGTTAAAAAAAGAGCCCTAATTCTTGAAAATATTGTTTCTCCAATAACTTCAGAGATTCAAACTGTGATCTGCCATAAAGAATCAAAGCTTTTTAATAGAATATCTGAGGAATGGGTTGAGAGGAAAGCAGGATATGTATTGTGGATGCCAGTGAACAACTAACCAACTAACAAGTAGAAGAGGTTGCACAAACAGTTATATCCACAATGGCGGAGCCCAGCAGGTCAATGCAAAAGACAAAACTGAAGCATTTGCAATGATCTTCAGACAGAAGTGCATGATCCATCTTGGCCTCATCCTGAGCATTTGTTATTCATCAGCAATTCAGTCTACATGATATCAAGAAATAGCTGCATGAGGGTGTGGGGTATGAACAACAATATCCAGGCTTGTTGCTGAAGAAGATTGAAGACTATGAAAAGCAATATTACTGGAGAAGACATGTCTTCAAAAAAAAAGATCTATTCCAAAACACAGACATAAAGTTCAAAAGCCAATAAAAGAACATATCATCCCATGCTAAGTAACAACCTACATAAACAATACTGTATACATATAAAAATACTGAGACTCCTATCTTTAAGAAGGATCTAGGCAGTGTAAATAACCCAGTCAAAATCGGCAAACTTGCTCTTGATAGAGCCCAAGCATGAAATATTAGCCAAGACTGCAATGAAAACACAAGTCATCACTCATGTGCACTACTGTTGTGAGCAGAGGAATAAAATGTGAAATTGTAAATGACAATTGTTCTCATTGTACTGAGAAAGGATTTCAGCTCCCCAAAAGCTCTAAATGAGACTACTGAATAAGGTGCACTATTGCACAGGCAAACAAAAAAGTTTACTGTTAATCAGTGAACAATCAAGTAATTGACAAGAAAGAACAGGCGATACATGATTGAATTGCTTTTGCAGATGGAATCAAAACAAAAATTAGCTTCAACTACTCCTTTTCTGCTGGATAGGAGTCTGGAAGGGTTAATACATCATTAAGTGCAATAAGCATCACCTAGTGAGATGATTTCATGGGACTTGGTGCAAGATTAAAGTGAGATCTTTTAGGATACACATATAATGTTAGGCCCTTCCAACAGCCTTTGTAGTAATGTAGAGCCTTTTCTTATCACCTGTAAATAATTGCAGATATGCAACAGACTACATCTTGTTTACTCTAAAGTCTCTTCTCTTTAGAAGGTGGCTTCCCTCACCCACACTAGACGTTGGAAGTTCTTAAAGAATCGTTGGCTGGGGCTGCGCATGCATAAAAACAGCAGCTTGTGAACTCAAGTTGCCTGAGCCCGAGCCACTGTCTTGGGCTGGCTGGGACCAATTCAAACAGGGATAGCTCAGAGGAATGACATAAGGTATAAATCCTTATTTAGTGGAAGGTAATGAGGTAATGGTGTCTTTAGGGTGAGCCTATAGTGGAAAAACACAAACTCACCAGAAAAATTAGAACCAACAAGGAAAAGACACCACAGCTCGGGAAGACAAGGAAAAAGTGAGATCAACCTTCAAAGTTAAGGACCCCATACTTCAAATGTGGAGATTATACCGAGGACCTCGGAGAGATTGCCTGGCCAGTGTGAGCTCCTAATCTCACCTATTAGCCTTTAAATTCTTTGACTGATCAGGGAATGTCAGAGAAACCTAGTAGGTATATGCATAGATTTTAATCTTGTATGTATTGCATGCCCATTTTTAACCTTTATTTACCAAACGGTGTGAATTGTATAGAGATAACACAGTGTGGAGCTGGAGGAACACAGCAGGCCAGGCAGCATCAGAGGAGCAGGAAAGTTGACGTTT